GGCTTCTGGAATGTTCTTCGTTTTGTATTGTTCCCGGCCAAATGTGCTTATCTTATTGAGACCATGCACGGCCAAGCACATGCAGGTCACCCAATTTCCAACCGGTCCCACCTAAGCGCCGCCGATGATGGCATTCTGGTTCCATCCACACCAGCTCACTGCCCCTCACGTTTCCTGTCATCCTTTTCTGCATTTCCCTCCCCTTTGGTCAAGGACTCTAAAGTCTTTTATCAGAATGTTCAGTCAAGGTAGAAGGGCCCTAGGCTGTTCCGGTCTCAGGATAAAGGAGGCAGCTGTTCAGGGAAACACTAGCCCCCACATTCCATTCCTTTTCCAATCCCAGACCCTCTGGGGCCCTCTGTAGGTCCAGGGGCATCAAGAGGATGCTTGCACAAAGCCCAGACACTCCTCAAGGAACTGGGGTGGGGGTCAGGGTGGGGTAGGGTCTCATTGCATGCTTTTCAGAAGTAGCGCACCAGGCTTTTCTTCATAGTCCATCTTAGTCTGGAAGCTCCCAGGAGCAGGAAAGCCGCTTCAAGGTGCATTGGCCCACAATCAAACCCAGGTCTCCGGAGCAGAAGGCAAACTTCTGACAATATACCCACGTAGACTGCCATCAAGGCCAATTGCAATTCATCGTGAGCCTACATAGGGTTTCCAAAGCTGTGACTCTTCACGGAGGCAGAGAGCCTCCTCTCTCTCCCATGGAACACCACTGGGAACAACATAGTACTTCTTGAAACCGGTGGCATCACAGACACCATAGAGGTCAGTCAGCAGAACTGCAACCCAAGACGGAGTTTCAGAGGGATCTGTCCACGGCCCTGGGCTGTTTTGGGATGGCCCCACAGCCACACCTGCTATGGAAGAGCTGCTCGGAGCAGCTGCCATATGTCTGGTGGGGAAGAGCATGTCATGGCCCGAGACTGGAGACTGTGCTGGCCGCTAGCCTCGGCTAGCTGAGACAACAAAGCATCCCCAGGCAGGCAGGTCTCGTGTCCACCCAAGAGCTCAGCAGTTGTACAGACGCAACTGAGCTAAATATGGCAGAATGTTGGCTGCTTCTCCTTCCTGAGCCTCTCCAAGATGAAAGGGATTTTCAAAGGTGAAAGCCCACAAGGGGGTGGGTGATGGTGGAGCTGGACAGAGAAGGGAAGTGGTAACAACCTTAGCCAACTGAGCAGGAGGGTAGCATCCCAGGGGCCTACTGGAAAGTCACCAGGTCTCAGAGCAGAACCCTGACCTCGGCCTTCCAGCTGTGGCTGGCAGGTCCTGCCCTCTCTCAGCAGAAGGGCCTGCTCTGAAGGTGGGGAACAAGAGGGACTCTGCTGCCTCCCCAGCTCCACCTGGAGGCTGGCCTCCCATGCGAGCCACTCAACAGCTCACAGGGAGAAAGTAGCCCTAGAACAACCCAGCCCAGCCACAAAGAATGCCTCACTCGCAGATGCAGCTGGCCAGCCCACACCATGCCCCGCCCCAGACACCCGGGAGAAGCAAACACTCACACTGCCGACAAGTCAATTCTGCCTCGTTGAGAAAGTGGGGCCAAGCCAGACGGGAAAAGGAGAGAGCAGACCATGAAGGATGCTGGCGAAACAAAGACGTCCTTGGGCTCTGACGTATGATGGCACCCGGGGAAGGAGCAGGAGGCTGGAGAAGAGACACACGTCCAGGAGATTCCAACGTGTGCTTGCAAGTGACCAGAGCAAGGTGAGCGGTTCAGCAGAAAGTGGACAGCTTCCAAACCCAACAGCCACCCAGAAGACAGGGCCCACCCAGCAACCACAAGGCAGCCTGCCGGCACGGCGGTGAAGCACTGAACTGGTAAGTGGATGATGAGTTGTATGAACCCCCCAAGTGCCTCCTTGGGGGATGGTCCTGGCGTCTTGGTAAAGACGATGCTTAGAGAACCCAAGGGGGGCAGAAGGGATGACTGCGAGCCGAAACAGCCCCAATGATAGTGCCACTGGGCAGTGATCACTGGCACCTGCTCCTGATGCATGGGGGTGGGGCTCGCTCTCCATCACCACCAGGGGGAGCCACAAGCTGCCCCTGTGCAGGTGGGTCCTTGGTATAGATTCCCTAGAGCCCTGGTGCTGCCATGACTGCCTCTTGACTGCTACCCCCAAGGTCAGCAGTTGGAAATCGCCTGCCATTCCTCGGGAGAGAGATGGGGGTGACCACTCCTGCAAAGACTGCCAGGCTCAGAACCCCAGGGCCACTGTGAGTCGAAGTGGACTTGATCGCAGTGTTAGCTTTGGCAAGGTGGTCCGTGTGCGCCAGGCACTGTCATGACTTTATGTGCGTCTACTCACACGATTCTTACAACAGCCCTACTGCTGGGGGCCCGTGTGTTGTTCTTGTTAGGTGGCATCACGCCAGACCTCTGTGGTAGACCCTAATTACAGAAGGAAGCTCCACCCACCCATGCGCCCCCCCCCCTCCCCTGCTGGGCTCAGCCCATTGTCACAGCTGCTGTGTCAATCCATCTGATGGAGGGTCTCCCTATTTTTAGCTGACCCCTTACTTCCCCTAACTGTCCCCGCTCATAGCATGTCTAAAACACATACGATGGAGGGGTTAAGATGGCATCCAGGTAGGGTCACCTGCTTGGCACTCTTGTTGCTGGAGCAGAAAATTAAGAGATAGGCATGGGGAACAAGCCGGAGGAGAAAGCAATGGGACCTACAGTTCCAGAGGGACAAAGGGGGAGGAGGAGGTGGGGGAAGGGAGCGATGAGCAAACAACGCCATAGACAGGGGAACAACTAGGGAACTGAAATCAATGAGGAGGATGTAGAGATCCTGGTGGTGTTGGAGCAACAGCAGTCGAGCTGAGAGGAATTTCTAGGAGGCAGAGGAAGGGTGAGCTTGATGGTGGGGCAGGAGGAAGTTACAAGGAAACAGGAAAGATTAAAAAGCAAACCGATGGATAGAGGCATAAACATAGTTGTGTACATATGTAAATACATTAATTCATAAAAATAGAGGTATTGGCCTATGTACATATATTTCTTTGGTAAAACACCGAGGTAGTGGACTGACTGTGGGCCTCTGCTCAAGCCCTCCATCAACACAAGAACACGTTGTTCTAACAACCTGGCATTCTGTGATGCTCACCCTCCCGGCACTATGGCTGAAGACAAAATGGGTGCCCAAGCAAATGTGGTGAAGAAAGCTAGTGGTGCCCGGCTATCAAAAGATACAGTGTCTGGATCTTAAAGGCTTGAAGTTAAATAAGCGGTCATCTAGCAGAGGAGCAACAAGCCCACATGGAATACACACACCAGCCTGTGCAATCATGAGGTGTTTGTGCCGTCAGGTAACAGGCATCAGAAAACCCCAAACTAACCAACCAACCGTATTTCAGAGAGCAAGGAGGGTCAGAGCAGAGACCGAAAACCCATCTGTAGACGATGCAACATCCCCTCACAGAAGGGTCACAGGGAAGGGATGAGTCAACCAAGGTGAAGTACAGCACCAATGACACACACTATCCCTCTGGTTCCTGGAGGCTTCCTCACCCCCCACTCCCATGACCCCAGTCCTGCCTTTCACTGCGGGCTCGGCCAGAGCATGTGCGCAGGTGCAGATAAGAGCTCGGGACATACGGAATCCAGGTCAGATAACCTCCTTAGGAACAGGAATGGGAGTAGCAATACCAGGAGGGTAGGGGGAAGATGGGAGAGGAGGGGAGGAAGAAACCTCAAGGGGGGAAGAAACAGCAGTTGGTGTAAGATATGAAAATAATAATTTATAATTTATCAAGGGGTCATGGGCGGAAGGGTAAAAAGAGGAGCTGATACAAGGGCTCAAATAGAAAGTAATGTTTAGAACACAATGATGGCAAAATATGAGCAAATGTGCTTGATACAATTGATGCATGGCTTGTTATAAGAGCTGTAAGAGCCCCAATAAAATGATCTTTAAAAAAAATGAATTAAAAAATATATGTATGATGACGTCTCACCTGCCTCCCAGGTAATCAGCAGCCTGGCTGTACTTCTTCTTGGACAGACTTGTAAATCTTTTAACAGCAAGCAAGCCCAACCCACTGCCAGTGGGCCGGTTCTGACTCACCCAGGGCTTCTAACACTGTAAATCTCTACTGGGGCAGAAAGCCTCATCATGCTCCCTTAGAGTGGCCCTGAGGATCCGAACCACTGAACTCGTGATTAGCAGCCATCACCGCGTCCACAGCACCACCAGAGCTCCTTGATCGCTGCCATTCATGGCATATTCCGTGTTCTTCGCCAAAACCATAGTTCAAATGAAGCAACCCTTCGCCTTCCTGATTGTCCAGCTTCTGAGTGCATATGAGGGGTGGAGAAGACCTTGGTGGGGGCCAGGCACCCCGCAGCTCCCAAGTGACGTTTTCTTTTGTAACCCTTTAAAGAGGTCTTTCAGAACAGATTTGTCTGATGCCATCTACTGTTCACTTTCTTGACTGCTTGACTTCCATGAGCCTTGATGAGCATGCAAATCAAACGAAGTTCTCGTCAATTTCGATCTTCTGCTGATTGGCCTTGGGGTGAGGATCTTCGTATGTTTTTGTGTTGATGTGTCATCCAAACGGAGCTGTAGTCTTTCATCTCCATCAGTAAGTGCTGTAAGCCCTCTGCTTTTTATCAAGCAAGGCTATGTCATCTGCTTACGGACGGCTGTTCATGAGCCGCCTCCAATGCCAATGCTGTGTTTGTCTTCATAGAGCCCAGCTTCTTCTCCGATTACTGAATTAGCACACAGACTGAATGAGTGTGGTGACAGGATACATCTCTGACAAACGCCTTTTGTGATGTGAAACCACACTTTGTGACCTTGCTCCATTCTAAGGACTGCTTCTTGACCCAGGTACGGGTTCTGTAGGAGCACAGTCAAGTGTTCTGGGATTCCCATCCTTTGCAACCATTATCCACACATGGCTGTGATCCACACAGATGCCTTTGCAGGACCAATAAAACACAGGTAAACATCTTTCTGATCTCCTCTGTTTCCAGCCAGGTCCATCTGACATCAGCAATGGTCTCCCTGGCCCCACATTCTCTTCTGACCCAGCTTGAATTTCTGGCAGCTCCCTGCTGACAAACAGCTGCGATGGTTTCTGCACCATCTTCAGCAAAATTTCCCGTGTTCAATTTCCGCTTGTTGGTCAGCTTTTCCTGTCTTCTGTCTTTCTTTGCGATGGACACAAGCAGAGCTCTCGTCCATTGGATGGACGGTGCCCTTCCCAACATCAGCCACTGTACTCGTGCCCCTGAACAAGAGGCAATCCGACATCTAGATCAATAGGATTTCAGAAAAATGAGGAGGGGCTTAAAAGTCAACAAGGAAACAATGCAAGAGGTTCTGCCAGAAACAAGTCCCCATGACCCAGACCAGAAGTGCTCACTGGTGCCTGCTACCACGACAGCTGCCCGGAACGTGCGGACTAGACTGAGAGGAGGAAGTGGGGCAGGACTCCAAACCATCCAGAAGATGGGCTGGGTGGGGCAATGAGACTATGCGCTTTCACCCGCTCCCAGTGACCAGGCAACGGCTCACCCCCATGGCTCCCTTTCCGGCCCAACAAGACAGGCCTCGGAGAGCGAGTCGCACCCCGTAGAAGAACCCACATTTGAGATCAAAAGGGCAGCACTCACCCAAGGACCACGTTCAGAAGGCGAGGAAAGACTAAGCCATGGAAACAGGACTCCCAGGAGGCAGTGGGAGGAATGATGGTACACTGTGGGCATTGTTACCGGCATCACGAAACAAATGGGTTCTGACCAGCTGCATAGAAAACAGACCTGCTCTGTGAAACTTTGCCCGATTCACCAGGAAATGGTTTCTGAGAAAGAACAGCCGAGGGAGAAGGCCTCCCGGAGGACAGGCTGTGGAGATTCCCGGAGCACGGTGGCAAAGGGAAGAAGCCGAATGTTTCCAGAGAAAGAAACCACAGGCAAGAGGGCAGAACTCAGGAAAGCGCGAGACACCCTGGCGCGGAAAGGAGCTGACATGACCGCCATCTCCACACCTAGGGGGAAATGCTTTTCAACGTTCAGCCCTGCTTACACCGTCAAGCCAACGTGAGGCTCAGCCTGGAACAAACAGGACGAGGACGCAGACCCTCGGTCAAGAAACCCACAGGCATTCCTCCCCACGTGGGGCGATGGAAGGGGGGCGGGGGGAGTGGCTTAGGAGCCAGTGCAGATGTAACCCAGCATGTAGCTGGCCCTGAGCCGGCAGGCAGCCTAGGGCAGAGGGCCAGTGTGGCACAGGCCACGGGAGAGATGCACACATGACGCACGGTCAATGACACGGTCCGTTCCCAGACGAGGGTCACAGGAGAGTGGACGAAGGAAGCAGCAACCTGCTGCATAGAAAACAAAGCCAACACAAAAACCCTAGGCAATGATTAACTCCGGGGAAAACAAAAAGTTGTGCAAGATGGAAAACATAACCCTAGGACCCCTTGTCCTCTGATGAGACTCAGGTGATTAGGTGCCATCCAGTCGATTCCAGTTCATGTCGACCCTGCCTGTGAACAGCAGAATCTGGGGTCTCCCGGTCCTGCGCCATCCTCACAACGTTCTGCCCTTGGCCCACTGTGGCAGCTGCTGTGTCAGTCCGTCTGGTTGAGGGCCTTCCGCTTTTTCGCTGCCCCTCTCTGAGTCCCTGGTAATGGAGCTAAGACGCCCAGCACACTGGGACGGCGCTGTGTGTGTGTGCGGGGTGACAGGCAGGTGACAATCCCTCCCTCCCCCCAGGATGCCAGGAGGGACACCGGCTCTAAGAAAGCCAACAAACAGCTGCAGAAGCATGCTCGTGGGCATCCAAAACACAGGCTTTCAATGCCCAAGGACATTGAGAGGTGAATTAGGAGAGGGTGAGGAGGCCACGTTTATTGTTGTGATTTATTATCAGCCTTGACAAAAATCATTTCACTTATAAAACAGGACGTCTATATAACTTTGAAAGATAAATTTTAAGTGAAAAAGTAAACAGACGCCCCGTTATGTGAACCCACAGTCCCACTGACTGCTGACAATCTGGCTTCCTCTCCTCGCCCCCCGCTGTCCGCTGTCCGCCGTTTAGGACGCCCCAGAAGCCAGCAGCTTAGGCCCAAGCCTTCCATCCAAATGTGTGCATTCTCTCCGATTGGTGATTGGGAGATGAAAAGTGTGAGTGTTGGAATTTTTGTGTGTGTGAATAGTATTGAAGTGTTTTAGGCGGCAGGAGGTTCGCTCTGTTTTACATTTAACATACCTTGGTGAGTTTGTCTGTTTGGTTAGGGTGCTGGGGTAGGCAGAAAAGGGCCTCAAAGACACCCACACCCTAAGGCCTGGAACCTGTGGGTATGTTACAGTGAGGGACGCCAGGCAGGCGTGGCTGAGGCTCAGAACTGGGACACAGAGACCACCCTGAAGCGTCCAGAGGGCCCAGCCTCGTCCTGAGAGCCCTTCAAAGTGGCAGGAGAGAACCAGAGAGATGGCTGTGAGAAAGATGTGGCCACCGCAGCTGGCTTGGAATTGGGAGCAAAGAGCCTGAGCTCAGGGCAGTGGGTGGCCACCAGGAGCAGGGGACAGGCATCCCGTTGCAGCCGCCGCCAGCCGCCCTTGGTGCTGCAACCGCAGGGACAAGAATACTCCCAACCCCAAGGAAGTGCCGCCCCCAGTGCCATGCTGGAAGGAGCCCAGCCCCGGGACGTCAAGCCTTCCGTCCTGTGAGACCCCCTGGACCTCTGGTTCCAGAATGGTCAGGGAGTCCACCCACCAAGGGTGGCCCTGTGACAGCAGCCAGGGCTGGGTACAGCTTTTGGCATTGAAAGAACAGTGGGCTGTGGTTCAGACATGCCATTTGAGAAGGAGGGATGTTCCCCCAAGCTTGCAGATGGGGGCGAGGCAGTCTGAGGGCGAAGGCCCTGGGGGTGGGGTGCTCTCCGAGATAGGAAACTTCCCAGACTCAGACAAGAGTTGGGTGGGAGCCAGAGGGAGCCAGGTACTGACACTCTGATCAGGTTTGCGTGGGACAACAGGTGCACCCTGCCAGGCTGGGACACGGAGGACCAGTCCTCTTGGCAGCAGTTCCGGGAGCACGGCTGTGCTGTGACCACCCAGCAGATGGAGGGAGTGGAGAAGGGCCCCAGAAGGCCTGTGTGGCCCTGAGCTGTGCCCACCACTCTGGACTCGTTGTAAGGACCAGGACATGAGCTACAAGAACTGGGGCCTTGTACATCTCAGCAGGACCTGGCCATCAGCTTCCCTGCTGGCCAGGGCTCTGGGCACCCAGGAAAGGCCAGCCCCTGCAGCAGCTGCACCCTGGGGCTCCAGGCCCTGCTACTAGGGGCTCTCCCAGGCAGGACAATAGCCCCATGGGTGGCTGACTGCCCTGCCCCCCCTGCAGTCTGCCTCCAAGCAAGGGGTCAGAGGCCCAGGCTCTGGCCAGCCAGCCTCCTGGGACCCCAGGAAGGGGTGCTGCTAAGGAAGCCAGGAGGAAGCCAGACGGGGTGGGTCATGGGTGAGGAGAGGGGTCCTGCCTCTTGCCCAGCCACCCCACAGGGCAGGCGCCATCACCCCATGGGCCCAGCCTCCTGGCACAGGTTTGTTGGCCCCTGGTCCTCAGTGGCATAGGCTGGCAGAGGCAGCCGTGGTCCCCAATCCCCACAGGGGACCGCAGGCTGGGCGGGCGCTCTGGGCTCAGGCTCAGGCTCAGGGCTGGGCCCCACGGTACTTGTGGAAGGTGCTTTCCAGGAAGGCAGCCAGCTTGGGCCGGTCGTCCTGCGGGGGGCAGGTGCATACAGGGGTTATGGGAGTGCAGGGCACGCACCCCCCTGGGCAGCTCCTGGGCACCCGTACCTCATGGAGGAAGCCATAGTGCACAAGTTCTGCGGCCAGGTCCTGAGCACTGTCAGCTGCAGCAGAAGGCACAGGGTGAGATGCGGGGTCACACTTCTGCCTCCCCATCCCCTCTTCCCCGCCCCTCCTCCACCTACTTGGGAGCAGGTCGTAGGTGAGCTGCCGGTGCAGCCTGTCTTCCAGCACAAGCAGCAAGGTGAGCTGGGTGGTGGTGGTGGGGGGCAGGGAGAGAGCCGCAATGATGGAAGTTGTGTGGTGTGGCAGGGCAGTGCTTCATCCCTGGCACCCCACCCACCATCACCCTCCACCCCGTGCTGCCCGCCAGGCTGGGGCTCACATGCCAGCGCATCTTGTCCTCACTCTTCTCCATGTTACACTGCATCTGGATTACCTGGGGAGCGGGTACCGAGGAGCGTCAAGGTCACCCAGCCCAAAGAGATACTGCTCCAGGGGACCCAGGGGGCACTGTAGGGTTGGAGACCCTCTGGACGGGCCCACAAAGGAAGGGTGGGGACCATCTGATGGAGGTTTGGAGAGCATGGCACTGCTCAGCCCGCTGAGTTAGAGAGCCACCTGCTGAGCAGCCCCTGGGCCAGTGCTGAGGTGAGGGGTGGACAGGGGTTTTCACAGTGGAGAGGGAAGTCCAAAGAGAGGAGGGGCAGGGAGACAACGGCGAGGCTGGCAGAGCAGGAGGGGTCACGCCGGGCATCTGGACCCTCTGTGGGCAGCCCGGGGCTGTGTGGGGTTTTCTGGGGAGGGTGAGGGCAGCTCTGAGCATCAGCCCAGGGGGAGAGAGTCCAGAGCGAAGCTGGTGGCCCTGTGTCCAGGTGAGGCCTGGAGGTGACCCAGTTCAGGATGGGGACTAAGGACATGGTAAGGGAGCAAGAAGAGGTGAGGCTGGAGGTGGTGCCCTGCCTAGGAGGTGCTTTGGGGGGAGCATGCCGCCTAGAGGGCCCTGGGGGAGACATGAGGCCACAATGGCAGTGGCCAAGAGGTGGGATCAGAGCAGGGTGGGACTGGCAGGTCTGGGGGCAAGCGGGCAGGGGAGGGGACCTTCTGGCTCTCCCTGGCTCCCACACAGAGTCATCCTGGGATATGGTCTCCAGCAGCCCAGAACAGAGCTGGGGTGGAACCCGCCAGGTGGGACCCGCCGGGACCCGCCCTGCCCGGGACCTCCCCCCTTCCATGGGGCCCCTACCCCCAGCTTGCCTGGACAGGCGGGATTGCAGCAGGCCTGGGCTCACCTTCCTGGTCTCTAAGTCAAAGGGCTCAGGAGTGGGGGTCTTGGCCTTCTGAGCCTCTTCTTGGGGTGGAGCCAGCACCCGGGGAAGCCCCAGGGGCCTTGTGGTGGCAAAGTTCATCAGCGGGTAGATACCATTCCTGGGGGCAGAGAGGGGTGGCTGGGCTCTGGCCTGGAGGTGGCCCGAGCCTCCCAAACACGGTGCTCACCTGACATCCTCCAGGAATTTGTCAAGTTCCAAGAAGGAGACTTCTGAGTACCTGCGGTCAGGGGAGGGGTGGGTGGGCATGAGAAGCCAGTGAGGGACTCTGAGGTGGGGTGCAGCTGGGCGGGCTTGGAGCTCACCGCCACTGCACGGGGGGCTGGCGACGCCTGGGGACCTCTGCCATGACGGCATGCAGGTCCACCGACTTGGTCTTCTCTTCCACTGTGTTCTCTGGCAGGAGGTCTGGGGGACACAGGGGCTCAGCGTGGCCTCCCTACCCCGCCCCCGCCCCCCCCCCGCCCCCGCCCACTGGGCCTCCCCTCACACTGGTGCTGGATAAAGCAGTGTGCAGCCAGCAGCTTCAGCGAATGCACTTCGAAGAGCACACGGTGGAACAGCAGGTTGTGGGCAGAGGGCCTCCGGGCGGGGTCTCGGGCCAGGCAAGACAGAATGAATTCCTGGAGGTGGTCGGAAGGGTGGGGGGCACTGAGTGGAGGTGCTCAGCTCTCAGCCACTCCGCCCTCAGTCCCAGTGGTCCAGTCCCCACAGGGGCCCTCAAGTTGGAGCACACGTGTGTCGGGCAGAGCTGCAAGGCCGCCAAGCTGCCAGCAACCTGAGCCTATCTCCCCAGCAGCACACCTGTCTCTCCCACTTCACTCCCCTAAGCCGGGCCTGTGAGAGCAGGGAGGCCAGGCTGCAGCCAGGATCCCTCACTTCTCATCCTCCACCCCCACCTGCAGCTCCACATCCCCTGGAAGCATCAAAGCATGTCTGGGACAGGCGTGCTGGGTGCCATCCTGAGCCCCACGCTTCTCTGAAGTCTTGGGCACTGTGCATAGTCTTTCTGAGGCTCAGTGTTGCTGACGAGGAATGGACAGCTGTGTCCATCATGCACCAGCCTCAGCACTCGAGGGACAGGCTGTGCTCTGGTCTTCCTGCAGTGCCTCTCAGCTATGCTCCCCAAGGTCCTCCCTTGGGTGGCCCTGCACCCCCTGTTCCACACCCCTCCTTGCCCTACAGACGGCCTGCCTAGTTCTTAGAGGTTTGGTCCCAACTTGACCACCCCGTGCATGCCCAGGAAAGGGCAAGCAGCTCACCCGCATGTTGGGGTCACTCAGCGAGTGCCTGGCACTAGCGATGGCCTCCTCTGTAACATGGGTGTCACCATTGGCCTGGATCTCCAGTACCGCCATCTGGGGGCAGGGGCAGGTCAGGCAGTGGGCAGCAGGAAGGCCACACAGGTCAGCTAGGGGGCCTTGAGGCCATACGCCAGTACCTCCAAGGCGCACATCCCAAAGGAGAAGATGTCCACAGCGGTACCATCAGCCACCTCTGCAAGGCAGGCGCAGGGAGGTCAGGCAGGGTGATGCCAGGGGCAGGGTGCAGACTGAGGCCAGACCCCACCCAGACTCACCGCCATACTCTGGCGGGAAGAAGTGCAGGTTGCGCAGCTCCTCACGCTCAGCCAGAATGGGGCTCCGGAGGTCGTCCGGGAGTGCTATGTGGGGTGTAGGGTAAACCAGCTGCCTCTCTCCCCTGGCCCCTTCTCCCGCACACCCTGAGGTCCCCACGCACCGTTGGAGAAGATGCGGTGCCACACTGTGCCGGCCACGACCGTAAGAAAGAGCAGCGTCAGAGTGCGCGAGCTTCGGGGTTCAGTGCCCCTCACTCCGGTTCCGGGCATACCCTGCAGGCTCCGCCCTCCATGCCCGCCCCCCATGCCCCTCTTCCCAAAGGCCCCGCCCTTCCAAGGCCCCGCCCCGCCAGCACCCGAGCCAATCTTGATGAGGCCATTGTGCTGGATGAAGATGGTGTCGCTGGTCAGGTTCCCGTGGATGATGGGGGGGCTGCAGGCGTGCAGAAAGCTGTGGGGGTGGGGGCAGGTGGAAGCTGTCAGGGGGCGCCCACGAATGGGCGCCGAGCGGGGTGGGGCAGGCAATCCAGGCGCTCACCTGAGTGCTGACAAAATCTGAGTGCACCAGCGCTTCCAGGCCTGGCGAGGGGGTGGGGGGCTGTCAGCGGGCAGCCCTCCCCGCGGCCCCACCCCAGCCCCGCCCCCGAAGCCCACACCCCTACCCTGGCGTTCATGGCTTTGTGGTTCTTCTTGGTCTTTTTCAGGAACTGCTTGAGGCTCCCTGAGGACACGTACTCCGTGATGAAGATGACCTGGGGGGTCACGGGCTCGTCTGTCTGGGACTCTGCCTCCCAGGGCCCGTGTCCCCCGCCCGGCCAGCCTCTCTCTGGGCTCACCCGCGCTCGGGCCTCGGCTGTGTCCAACCAGTACTTGTGCAGTTTGACGATGTTGGGGTGTTCCACCAGCACCAGCTGCTCAAACACCGTCTGGATCTTGTCCTGGGGGTGGGGTGGGGTGCGGGGCACTGTCACGAGTCTAGTCGGGTTGTGGGGTGTGGCGGGACTGGGAGGGGGCCTCACCTCATGGGCCGAGAAGGCCTTTCTGTCGCTGAAGTGCAGCTCGTTCCACACCACCTCCACCCCCTCCTCGGTGTCCATGGCCAGGAACGTGCTCTGCACGCCGGGCATATTCCCCTGGTTCACCTGGGGGGCGGGGGAGGGGGGCAAGGCTGGTCCTGGCCCAAGGCCCAGACGGGGCTGGTATCGCAGGGCGGCAGGGTCCAGGGGCCGGCTGGGGGGTGTTCCACGCAGGGAGTCCAGGGGCAGTTTCTAAGGGGACAGCAGCTGGCCCCAGAGCAGTAGTAAAGGCTGCGGTAGGGGGTCCCTGGAGGAGGAGGATCCTCAGGGCGCCGGGCTCCTGGTGAGTGCCGCCCAGACAGGGCCGCCGAGCCCCGCTCCCCCGCCCGCGTGGCCTCCCAGGCCCCCCGGAGGGCACGCCGGCGCCCACCTGCTCCCGCCGCTTCTGCCAGCGCCCGCACGGGCTCTCCTCC